GAGAGAAGAGTTAAAGTTAACTGAGTTTTATAACTAGTTAGACAGTTCCAACAAAGAAAGACCAGGAACTAGATAAGGCCAGGGTGCCATGATGGCACAACAGATCAAAATAAATAGGAGGAACTCTGTTTTTACAGAGATTCCTGAAGGTGTTCTACCGCACGATGTAATAAAGGCGATAGAGGAAAGTTTAGGGGAAGGAGCGGTTGAATGCTTACAACCATTGGGAGGAAAGAAGATATGCTGTTCCTTTGCGACGAAAGCTCTAGGTATCGGACATTTCGCCTACAAGGACGTCCAGTATAAGTACACCCCAGCAGGTACAAACGTGATAACTGTGAGGATCAAACATCTTCCACACGAGGTTCCAAACGAGTGTTTAGCAAGCGCTCTGCAAGGGTATGGAAAAGTGTCAGGAATAACACGGGTAATCTACGTGGATAGTAAGGTCTTTACTGGGGCACGAAGAGTCCGTGTGGATATGACGGACCCAATCCCAACTTTCTATACGTGGGCCAATTCAGGGTAATGGCGAATTACCCTGAGATGAAAAAGCTGTGTGCCAGATGCAAGGAAGGAGGACATTTCGCGGCCGACTGCTCAGCCAAAATATGTAACAAGTGCGGCGAAGTAGGACACTCGCCCGAAGAATGTGTTAAAGGATACAAAAAGTGTGGAGGAGATCACCCACACAGACAGTGTAGAGTCAAAAGTTTTTCGGCTGTCGTGAAGGGAGGAGAAGAGAAAGTGAGTACAGAAAATGAAGTAGAAAAAATCCTTAAGGAAGTAATTAGAAATATGTGCGATATAGTAAATAAAGAAGTTAACATCATGGAAGTAGATACTGAAGTCAACATGGAAGAAAAGGAAGTAGCGGAAAAGGTAGAAAGAAAATCAGAAGGAAAAAAAGAGGAAAATACATGGAAAAAGGTAACAAAAAAGATAAGTAAGGAGGAGAAAAAAAACGGAAAAAAATAGAGAATATGCTAACAAAAAACCAAGTGAAAGTCTGTTGGCAGAAGATCTACTTCTGTGCGAGAGCTCCTCGAGCGAAAACAGGGGGATGAAACGACGGAGGACCAACAGGGGAAAAGGGCCCAATCGAACACTTCATCGGAGGACAAAGGAAGGGAAAAGAGTAAGAAAGGAACCTTAGTCGGTAGTTACATACTTTAATACCTTTTAAGAAAAAATAAATACCTTTATGTGTAAAACCCTAATTTTAACTGTTTGCTACCTAGAGCTCCAAAATGACTAAAAACATAATAAACATAATTATGATACTAAAAATAATAACTTTAAATACACAAGGATTTTTAAACAAAATCATTAATAGACATGATGAATAGATATAGCTATGACATTCTTGTTGTACAAGAAGGTCATCTATACTAAACATCACAGATTAAACAGTTTAACATCAAACATAATGTAAAATCATCATACTGGAGTTTAGGCACATCCAACGAAGATGGAGTAGGTGTCATAATGAACAATAACTATAAAGATAAAGTAATAGGAATGAGACACGATATATATGGTAGAGTAACTTACATAGGCTTAGAACACAATAAACAAAAGATAAGAGTAATAACTGTATATGCACCAGCCGATCACACTAGAATGGCGTTATACTACCAAAACTTAAAAAAGTATTTATACACAACAAATGAAATAGTTCTAGTCGGAGACTTTAATTGTACACTAAATCCATTAACAGACAAAATAGGAGATAACCAGATTAAAAGGGATTCGGGTGCAAAGTCATTAGGGGATATAATTGAAAGTTTTCAATTATACGACGTATGGCGACACCTGGAAAAAGATAACCCAGGTATAACATTTTGGAGTCATAATGGAATGGGAAGTAGACTAGATAGATTTTATGTATCCAAGTCCTAACTCGACATGACGGAAAAAATAACGATAACTCCGATAGGAAGTCCCAATAATTATGTCAGTGATCACCACTACGTGACAGTTATAATAAAAATAGGCAAGGCACAAGAAATAGGTAGGGTATATAGGAAACTTAACGTATCTCTGTTAGGAAAAGAACACGTCACAAGCAACGTTAGCACTATGCTATCGGAGCTATGTGACGCCACAGAATACAGCGCTGACTGGTGGGAAAGCCTGAAAACCAGGACAGCGTCTAAGTTCCAATATCTAGGAAAGGAAATAACGAAAGAAAATAGAAGTAAGATCCATAAGCTAGAAAGACACATGACTAGTTTAGCACAATTTGCCAATGGCGACTCCAATTTCATGGACTCGATAGGAATGATTAAGCAGGAATTAGATCAACTTTATGAAGAAAGATTAGAAAGCTTAAGGATAAGAGCAGGAATAAGGAATATTGAAGGAGAAGAAAAGTTTAACAGTGACTTTTACAGACAGCTTAGAACTAGAATGAATAAGTCATTAATAACAGAGCTTAAGAATAAAGAAGAACAGATAGAAAAGGCGTAGAAAATATCATACTAGACTTCTACAAGGAGCTTTATAGCACTAAAGAAATAGATAGAGGTAAGTGGGAGGATGTGACTGAACATCTTCCCACACTTCCCAGGGAAGCAGAATACCTGGCAAAAGCAATAACAATAGAAGAAGCAAAAACATCAATGGAAAGTTTAAGCAAGAAAAAAGCGCCAGGGCCAGACGGACTCCCAGTAGAGTTCTATGAACAATTCTGGCATATAATAGGTAAACCATATGTTGTAATACTTATATCTACATATAATCAAAGGATACCTAGAAATATAAAAAAAACTATAGATATCTATAATCAAAAGTTAAAATTCTGCAATCAACTGATAAAACCGGTACTATAGCTAAAGTACTGTATGAATAGGTGAAAATTGATTTCCTTTTTACGATGACGAATGATTAAATTGAGAGCATGATCAACCTTCATTCGTTAAGCTCGTCAAAACAACATACTGCTTGATACAACAACAGCCTGGTAATGAAAGCCCGAGTCTTGAACTATCTCGACAGACAGCGTTTAATCGAAGCTAATGCGTAATTCTAGTATAACTTTTTACGACCCACTAACATTCCGCTTGCGACCCACCAGTGGGTCGCGACCCATAGTTTGGGAAATGCTGATATAGGGGATACGCATTGGTGTAGCAAGGAGTTGCAAAGTGGGGGTGCTTGGCATGCCCCCCAGAAAATAGATATAATAATGTAATTTACAGTTGCTATATAATTCAAGTATGTAAAAGTTTGTGTACTATAGCACCTCCGGTTCTGACGTCTCTAATATGTAACTCCTGCTACCAGTCTTATTCGCCACAAATAAAAAGTAAATGATAATAAACGGGGTAGGAAACCCCATGCCTCAATTATATGTGGCCATATATAGGGTAGACAACACAGTGTCAGGAACTTATAATCATATGTATTGTTACGACAGCGGAAGTCACGTGACGCTGGGAGCATGCGCGCTAGAGTGTCTAGAAGGATAATGACTTATCGGGGAATCTCAGGAATACCCAGTATTTGCTAGACGCCCTCTTTTTTTTTGTTTTTAGTATATAAGGGCATATGCA